AAAAACTCTTAAAATAGCCTTAGAAGAAATTAAAAATGGTGCCAGCAAGAAGGCCGTGGCCAAAAAATATAATATTCCTAGATCAACCTTGCAATTCAGGAAAAGTGCAAAATTCTCCAAAATATCTCACGGACCTCCACCAATTTTAACACCGGCAGAAGAACAGCTCTTGGTCAAATAGGCATCAGATTCCGTGAAAAAAGGTTTTCCTCACAGAAAGGAAGACATCTAAGACAGACATTTAAAGCATCCTCGCCCAACGCCCTTTAAAAATAATTTCCCAGGAGACGGGGGTGGTACAAGAGCTTTTTGCGTCGAAATTCTTCTTTAACTGAAAGGCAGACAGAAGCAGTAACATCGGCAAGTGCCAACGTTAGTGAAAATAATATACGAGGTTGGTTTGCAAAAATTGAAGCTTATTTAAGAAATGAAGAGCTGTTGGATATTTTTAAAGACCCGAAAAGAATTTTTAACAGTGATGAAACCAACTTTTAACTTTGTCAAAGGGTCAAAGAACGTCTATGAAGTCGATAGAGGTCAGGCAAAATCAAATATCACAGTATTATTCACGTTTTCGGCAGCTGGAGATACACACCTTTAATAGCAATAATTTAACCTTTATAAACGTCTACCCTCCGAGATTAGCGAGGAATAGCATTATCGGAAAATGGGTGGATGAAATCGAACATTTTTTAAGAATATATTGGAAATATTTTCTACAAATCTTAATAAGAATAATATAGTACTTCCAGTGATTCTATTTGTAGATGGACACACCACACACCTTACTTTACAAGTCAGTCAATTGTGTTAAAAGTTAAATATAATCCTGATAGCTCTTTACTCTAACGCAACGCGAATCTTACAGCCGGCGGATGTTTCTGCTTTCAAACCCCCAGACAATGTGGAAGAAGGGGGAAATCGATTGGAGAAGAGAACATCCCACCGAATCATTATCCAGAGAAAAATTGGCACCAATTCTAGAAAAAATTTTACCAAAATTAAAAGCTGACTCCATCGCCAATGGTTTTCGTGTATGTGGGTTGTTCCCTTGGAATCCCGACGCTGTGGATTACTCAAAGTGCTTAGGAAAAACAATGTTTTACTTAACACATGTGAAAGTAGTAAAGTATTAACCGAAAAAACTCTTAACTGTTAAAAGTTTAAGCAAGTGGTGGGGCAATAAAAGCTAGTGCAGTTTAAAGCAAATCATGTCACATACGAGAAAAACGATTCTGAAATTTTGTACAAATTATATAATTTTTGTGAAAATCAAGAAATTAACAACATGGTAGACATGTCTAATTAAACAAGCCAAAATGTGGAGCAAGTGACGATCTTAAAACATCATCACTTAGACAACAACATAGAAATTCTTGAAACTAAAAATTTAAGTATTAACATAAACGAGGCTAATGCTGCAGAAGACAATGTTCAGACTTTTAATATTAAAGATCTTCCAAT